AGTGTAACTAACCTTACAAGAGACAGTGTAACTAACCTTACAAGAGACAGTGTAACTAACCTTACAAGAGACAGTGTAACTAACCTTACAAGAGACAGTGTAGCTAACCTTACTAGAGACAGTATAATGCTGACACTAATATCTGTGCTTCAAGCTGAAGTGATATTTTATAACACTGACACTAATATCTGGGCTTCTAGCTGAAGTGATATTTTATAACACTGACACTAATATCTGGGCTTCTAGCTGAAGTGATATTTTATAACACTGACACTAATATCTTTAATGGTGTTTCAGCATGAACTATAACCCTGCTGTACATATATAGCTTATACTTTCTATATGTATAGCTACAGTGCAAGCTTAGGTAACAGTAAAACCTTCTAAACATTGACGTTTGCTATTTTCTTTATCTAGTTAACCTAGCCATTTAAGTTTTTAAGCCTAGTTTAGTTGGGTATTGTTACATTTAAGTACAGCTGCAAAATTATGTTTTTCTTATTATCTTTTGCTTTCAAGGGTTAACTGATTATTTTCACAACAGATGTTTGTTCCAAGTGGCTTTTCTTTGCATCTTACTGTTCTAATGCAGACTCGTAAGTGAAGCCAGTATAGGGAATGTGCAATGGAGTGGTGGATGATTTAATTTTACACTTGTTTATATATATAATCACTCAACAACAACAACAAAATTCTAAAACATTAGAATTCATTAGTTACACTTTATTTATTTTTTACTAGAAAATGTTCATAAATTTGAGTTACTGATGAAAAGCAACACTGAGAAGCTACTACGCTCTACCACCCATTTGTCCTCCTCGTCACCCGAACTTAGTCGATCCAAAGTCTGGGAAAGTCCTCAACCATGTTCCACTAACTTCGTCATTTCTCAGTACTTAGGTTTGATATTTCCTGCAATCTTCAGAAGAAGAGCTGTCCACAAACCAAAGTATGTCGAGGTAGATGAGATCGAAGATCAACGTCTTGAAAGGATGCAGCTGCCTGATGTGTGTGTTGGAATATAATGTGTGGTTTTTGTTTAGAAATATGATAAAAGAAAGCATATAAAATATGATTGATCTATAAAATTAAGGAAAATGTTGTTATCACAGAATGTTATTCCTTTTGTTGGAATTGTTTATCCTCTAATTGTGACTTAGTGATGTACATTCTTTGAGGATCACAGTGAATGGATAGATGTAAAATTTTACACTTGCAGACTCTCGTTCAAGATAGTTTTCCATGGAATTTAGATTTGTGTATAGTATATTGAAATCTTGTATGTGAATCATTTTTAGACTGCATATTCATCTTTTTTTTTGGGCCAAATTGTTTTTTCATGATGTCATTTTTGCATGTTACATGTTTGTATAAAACTGTAAATATTAGTTTTAAAACACTTTCATTATGCAGTGAATGCTTAATCTACTGATTTTACCATTTGAGGTATTACAAGTTATGTAGAAGTTGGATATTCTACTAAATGGTCCGATAATTCTTTAAAATCCCTATACAGTTTGCAGACATGAACTGTCTTTCTGTTTATTAGACCCTCATTTGTTTTTTATCATAAAAGGAAGTTCAACCTGTTGGTTTGATTATTTTTGCACAGAAAACAAGAATGTTAGGTTTTGTTGTGTTTTATATGACAATTTCTTATTCAAAAGTAATTGTGCTAATTAAAAGTAACTTTCGTTCAATGTACTGTATGAAAAACCCTCCAATAAGATACATCAATATCTCCCTTGCTCAACCTGGGAACATGTTCCTATCTAATATAATCTGGGAATGTGTTCCTGTGTAATATAACACTGTCTTTACTATTAACTGCAACAAGGATTAGCTTGGAGGTCTCCACCTGGGAACACATTCCTGTTTAATATAACACTGTCTTCACTATTAACTAGAGCAAGGATTAGCTTTGATGATTCCACCTGGGAACACGTTCTTATGTAATAGAACAGTCTTTAATCTTTACTATAGACTACAGCAAGGATCAGCTTGATGATTCCACCTGGGAACATGTTCTTATGTAATAGAACAGTCTTTACTAACTACAGCAAGGATCAGCTTGATGATTCCTTTGATGATTCCACCTGGGAACACGTTCTTATGTAATAGAACAGTCTTTAGTCTTTACTATCAACTACAGCAAAGATCAGCTTGAAGATCCCACCTAATGATTTAACAGATAATAGCTGATAAAACTAGTCACACTTAAAGTTGTTAGGGAAAGATCTCATGAGAGTATTTCTACATTCACCACTGTCGTCTGTACTAAACTACTGATATAGGCAATACCCTTGTTTTATCTGTCTATTGGAAAGAAATAACAGGTATATAGTTCCACGTTCCCTCGAGTGAATGTATTGTTCTTCCACAAGTTAAGTCAAAGCTTTTTTATACAAAACTAGCTATCGTTCCTACCACGGGAATTACCTGCAATATTTGTGGAGTAGTTTCTAGGGTTGTGTATTTGCCAACATACATGTTACTTGTTAAGTTCAAACTGTTTTCATTTAAAGTCACTGGCAACGTAAACATACTTAGGAAAGTTCTATACATTAAATACTTATCAGAGCCTTCATTAAACTTACTACTTGTAACCTGATATTAAGTTTTTAAATCAAATGTGACTAATATATTAAAACTTGGATAACAATGCTTAAAAAAGTAAAAACTACTTTATATTTGAAGTTCATCAATGAATAGTTATGATAAATTTTGTATTTTAAGAAAATTAACAAATGTTTAACAGAGCTGACTTGTCTTCAGTTACAAAATTAAAGAAATGCTTTCCTTAAAACTGTGTGATACAGGGTGTATTTAGTATATGTGTCAAAACCTGGAGAAACCCTATCCAGTTTCTTTTCAATGAAATGATTTTAACATGTGAATATATATAATTAATGTACATTTTTGGCCATTTGGGGGAAATCTTTCAAAAACAGCCCTGAGGTTGAGATTGCAACAATTTCTGAGACATAATAAAGTGTTTTATTTTTCATACTACAATGGGTTTCTGACATGTCTAATATCTGAAAATTAAGCATTATGAGCAACAGTAAACATCTCCAACACCTGGAATTTCAAAAAACATCAGCCATACTTTCTTCCAGAAACTTCTTGTATATAGACATGAACTTAGCAATGAAGGCTTCTATGTGATAGATGGCTTTATTTCCCAGCTGTAGCCTGTGCTCGTAATATGCTGCAAGCTGCGTGACTTCACCCTTCAACTGGCCATCACAGTTATTCACAAGCTCTTTCAGCAAACCCTGAAATCAAATCTTACATGTAGTACACAAAATGGAAAAGTCTTCTATATGTAAATAGAAAGAGAAAAATTACATAAAAATTGTGATGGGATTAGATGATACATCCATTCATCACAAGTGGGTCAAATCTGGCAACAACTGGTCTAGTGATTTACAAGTTATCAGTAAGGACACAGTATTTACCTTAAAGATTACTTCGCATGGAATAAGGTGGATAAGAAGTTCATATATTCTTCCCCGTACCTCGAACAGTCTGAAACACAGAAAAGTGTAACTATATGTGACAATCACACAAGTAAATGCTTATTAAACATAACGCAGTCAAATAAAAGACATGATGTTAGAGTACAATACATGAATTTAAGCATGTCATTAAAAATAACATGATAAAGATGTGGATCTTCCCAATGAGAAAATACTCAAACATCTTATATAAGGTGTTCTTTACTGGTGGTAAGTTTTAATAACGAAGATTTACCTTCCACAAAATATGGTGAAAACCACTAATTTTAGAAACTTGAACAACAAAATTTTTGTGATTACCATTTTTGTTAAATATAAAACAAAGTGTTCTTACTTTCGAGGACTTTGTTCTTGAACAATTAATTTAGCTGTTTCTTTCAGAAACACTTCCCAATCAGGCTCAGGGATATCTTGGTCTGGAACAAAGGGGTATCTAGTAACCAAAGAAAACATCTGATACCTTACATGCAAGTCCTTCATCACAAAGATGTTGATTTTGGCTTAATTTAGATGCTAAAGATCAAGTATAACTTTACTCCAAACAATGGTTAATTTCATTATGTTGCTAACTATTGCATGGAAAGAGATCAAAGATAAGATTATAAAATAATTAACATTTTTCCCTAATTTAAAGTTATATAAAATTCTAACAGGCAACATGTTTTCTCTCACAAGGTCTAACACTGAAACTGTTTATTTTTACAAGTAAACAACTGTTATGAACTTACTGCTGCACTCTGCACGACTCGCACATTAGGATCGCTCTACGAAGGTTTCTATTGCTTTTTTCTGCAATTCTCTCAGCAAGCTCAGGTGGAATGCTCAAACTCTCCTTCTTACACACAGTTTGTAGCACTGTTACTATCTAAGTAGTAAATACAATATTATGTCTAATGCTTAGTATATAAAAAAAACCAAAATATGTTTAATTCCTAATTTTACTTCATATTAAAATTACCAACAGTAAAAAAAAATTTATAAAAATGCACTTAGGCCAATAGCTATTTCTACAATATAGCAATATATATGTACATTTTTCTTGATAACTGTTTTTAAAGTAATAAATGGAAACCTTTCCTGTGGACCATCAAAGAAAGCAACAAAATGAAACCTTTCTCGTTAACTGCCTTTAAAAATTTCTGACCTGGGAGGATACTTATGTATTTAAAATAGAATAAACTGTTTTCACCACTCGCACGACTTTTCATTTCTTCTCTTATGTCTTGGTTGCATTCATGACATAGACATCATTAAAATGTTAATTTAAATTAATGTATCAGTAAAACATCTCAGTAAATATTTTCCTGATTGAAATTAACAAACTTCTTTTTCACACAATAAACCTAACTCAGTAACTCAGATTTTCTCTTCATTAAAATTAACATTCTTCTTCACACTAGAAACCTAGAGTCTTGGTAAGAGATGAATAGGAGGAAAGGCATACAAATGGAATTCTTGACCAGAACTGTAGGCTAGCATTTCAATGGGTTGCAAAGGTGTCTATCATTGAAGAGCTGAACTGAGAATAAATCCATTGAAAGACCATCTGATAGGGTTGAGAAAGATGATCTGCTAATCAAAATCATAACCACTGGCACATGACAGGCCAAAAGATGGATGTCATTGGAACGAGCCAAAAAAGAAGATTCAAAGCCTGAAAACCAAGACTTCAAGAATGAGAACTTCCCCGATGAGAAAGATATGAAACCACCGTGGAGTA